ATCATCTGTTCTTTGCTCCTTTGAAATTAATTGAGACATTAACTTGTCTGCCACAATATCCTACTGTTGCTGTGTAACATTTTGTTGAGCGTGACAGATGCTTTGCAGATTTAGTTCATTTTTTTAACCATATTTGTGAAGGATTCAATAAACATTGCAGTGTTTCACTGCACCAGTTGCAAAGGACAATGTAAATCATAGAATGTTATTGCATAGAAAGGGGATCATTAAGTCTACGTTGGTGTTTTTCACCACATGAAGATATTTCATCTGATCGTGTCTCGCTCACCTAGACCGATTCAGGGGATATTATTCAAAGTCAAGCCCCCTTTGTGGGCTATTGCCCAGCTCAGACACCACATAAGGAATGGTGTGCGTTGCCAAATGCATCCAAATCCCATGAGAAAACGTCTCGTCAATAAATTCACAATGTGGATTGAAAGGCAGTCCACAGTGTGACATTCACAATGTATCAAGCATGCAATGTATATGGAAGTCATGTATGGCAGATTAATGTAAATGAAGAACAATTGAGGCAACACTGTAGTATTTCAGTTTGTCAGGATGGTGCATTGCTTTGGAATTGAAAGGAGTTATAGGATGTGGCCAGCTGTTGCCTGGATGGGTGTGAGCATTGGTGGGCCATTCACTCCCAGTTGCTGTTCTGCACCTCTGAGCAAATGGATAAAGAGCAAGTCCCTGCTTCATCCTCTTAGCTGTGAAAAATCCATAGTTTACAGAGTGACTTCAGGAGAGAAGAGAGGGACAAATGGAAACTTTTTAAAACTTTATTTCATTTTCCATTCAATCTGTCATACATATAATAATAATGATCACCTTTGCGTTGGGTATTGCCCTTCAAATCGGAAGTAAATCTCAATACGCTTAAAGGACTGTGTATTTTGTAGATGAATGTAGCAGCCAATTTGTATTCAGTGATGTCCTACAAACAGCCATGAAGTGAGTGAGCACCTTTATCTGGGGGATTGTTGCCCAGACCCCGAAAGAAACTTCTCTCTTTCGAATAGTGTCATGTGATTTTTAACATATTATTATCATCATCATCAGCGTCACTGGATGCTCAAAAGTCCTGATGTGGAGTTTGAACTCATAGCCTCCTGACTCATAGGATAGAGTTCTGAGCCAGCCTGATCCCTATATTTTTATGTAATTATTTTCAGCTTCAATTCTGAACCAAAATATCTTTTACCAATAGATTTTCTGAGCTTCCTCCTTGCCTCTCTGTCTTCCTCTAACAACCCCCCCCCACCCATTAGTCCTGTAGCTCAGTGGTTGAGCACTCGCTTTGCAAGTGAGAGACCTGAGTTCAATTCCAGGCAGAGGGCGAAACCTCGGGAAGTTTCCTTACTCCACACAGAGCCTAATAATAATCCCTCCAAAAACCAAAAACAATAATAAATTGGTCATTTTCAATCCACAACTGTTTGTGGGACATTGCTGTGCGCAATTGGCTGCCGCGTTCGCCCACAAATATACAGTCAATTCACTTTACAGTGTGTTCTGTGAAGCGCTTTGGGACGTCCTCCCGACGTGAAAAGCGCTATATCAAATGCAAGGATTATTATTATTATTATTAAAAAAACAGTTCCTGGGTAACCAGGTGCAAACATATCTGCCAATTTACATGTGTCTCACTACCCAAAGAGATTGATTAAAGTCCTTTTTGTACCTTGTAAAGCTCTCCTATAAATCACTTTCCATTTTTGACTGGAAATACAATGTCTGTTTAAATAACAAGTCGCTGTTAACTTTTTAAGGTCACTGTGCACCTCTGGTTGCTATCCATCCTGCTTTGGCTGAGAGGACAGGCAGGTCACGTACTCTCTGGCCTCTGCCATTGTTGCTCTGAAGCCATGCTACCAGGTGATCCAAAATGGTGAGACCTATACGGTAACTCCAACCTCCTGATGGCAACGACTCTTGATTGTGTTTGGCAGTTTCACTATTGAAGCAGTGACCAGGAACTGGGCTCGTGGGCAACAACAACTTGCATTTACATTATCCTCTTAAAGCAGCACCTCACAAAGACGCAAACAATATTATGTGCACAATATTATATTTGTATAGTTCCTTTCACGTGGGGAGGACGTCCCAAGGCGCCTGGTGAGGGAGGAAGAGGAGGTGACTGTGCAGCATATTGTTTTAAGAAATTAATTGGCAATTGAAAAAGATGTAGGAAGTATTAAAGGATCTTGGGAAGGTAACCAGGGTGTGGGAGTTTATGGTTGGAGTATTGGAAACTGAGAATTTAGGATTTACTTAATTTGATATACCGTGTTATGGATTGAGAATCATTATAGACCGTAAGGAGAGGTGTCAGACCGACGCAGTTGGTAGTACTCTTGCCTCTGAGTCAGAAGGTTGGGGGTTCAAGCCCCACGTCAGGAAGTGGAACTCACGGCCTGGGCTTTTTTTTACTTAATGCAGTGCTGGGATTGTGCTGCATTATTGGAGGCCCTGTCCTTCAAGTGAGATATTAAATTGAGGTCCTGCTGCTTGTTCGGGTGGATCTTAATCATGCCATGGCACGATTCAGAAAGAGAAGGGAGTTTCTCATGGTGTCCTGGCCACTAATCCACCAGATAAAATTGGTCACTCACTTGATGGATGTTTGTGCAAATTGGCTGCCATGTTCCTCTACAAATATGTAGTCAGTACACTTTACAGTAAATCTTGTGAAGTGCTTTGACAGCGTAATAAGCTGCAACGTCAAATGCAAGGATTATTTTAGGATTACTATTATTAGTGTGCAAGTTTGTGTTAACCTATACTAGTTTGGCCTTAGAGAAACCAAAGTGTAGTATACCATCATGGTTGAAAAAGCAGAGGACATCACAGAGAAGAGGTTGGGTGATGTAAAGCTCGGATTTTGAAAGCTGATTACATATGATGCTTAATGTAACTTATTTACACAAAGTATGGTGAGAATGTGGAAATCACTGCCGAAGTTGTAGTTTTAGCAAAAAAATTAATGTATAAGAGAGAACTTGATACAAACACAAGGGATAAAAGCGAGGGCAATAGAAGGGGTCGGAGCTTTTTGAAGGTTAAAGACGGACATGGACTAGTTGGGTTGAATGGCTTGTTCCTGTGCCATGTACTTTATGTAACTGCAATCAAACCTGTTCAAGCAACCACTTCCATTCTGCAACCACCCTCTGTTAACAACCATCCTGAACAGCCTGGACAGCCTGGTTTGAACACCAATGAACCCTTACTTAAATGCCACCCTTATATAAAGGCATTTTAACTCAGTGGTTGTTGAAGGGAGGTTTAACTGTTTGTTATTTCTATTTAATAATGGGGATTCATTCACTTTGGAGTTGTGTTGTACAGTACGTGTAGTTCTATGTATCTAATTAGTGCTCCAGAACAGCTCTTCTAAAGTGTGTGTCATCCTGGCTTTTGCCATTGAGTTAGGGGGATGTGGCGTTGGGACTTTGAACTCACATGGTCCAAGTTGATGTTCCAATGCATTGTTGGGGTGTTGTTGCATGGTCAGAGGTGACATCCTTTAGATGAGTCATTAAACTGAGCTCCTGTCTGTGCCTGTTCAGGTGGGCGTTAAAGATCACATGGCATTACTTGAAAAGAGAAGAAAGTTTCCCCTGGTGTCCTGGTCAACAATCCCCCAGATAAAATTGGTCATTCGTTTCTTGTCTGTTTGTGGGCCATTGCTGTTTGCAATTGGGCTGCAATGTTCACCTACAAATTCACAGTCACTGCACTTTACAGTAAAATCCTATAAAGAGCTTTGGGACATCTTCTCGACTGTGAAAGGCGCTGGATAAAATCATACAATCTTTCAGCACAGAAGGAGGCCGTTTGGCCCATTGTGGCTGTGCTGGCTTTGTAAGAACTATCAATTTATAATAATAATCCTTGCATTTGATATAGCGCTTTTCATGTCAGGAGGACGTCCCAAAGCGCTTCACAGAACGCACTGTAAAGTGAATTGACTGTATATTTGTGGGCGAACGCGGCAGCCAATTGCGCACAGCAATGTCCCACAAACAGTCGTAGATTGAAAATGACCAATTTATTATTGTTTTCGGTTTTGGAGGGATTATTATTAGGCTCTGTGTGGAGTAAGGAAACATGCCCAAGGTTTCGCCCTCTGCCTGGAATTGAACTCGGGTCTCTCACTTGCAAAGCGAGTGCTCTAACCACTGAGATACAGGACTCCACGGCAAACTTGTCCCACTCCCCTGCTCTTATCCCATAGCCTTGCAATATTTTCCTTTTCAAGTGCCTATCCAATTCAAATGCAAGGATTATTATCGTATGTCTAAGTCAACTTACTGAAATAAACATGTTTTGAAATATTGCACAGAATAATGCATTATAGTGATGGTGCCTTGATATTATAGACAGGGATTTGCTAGAGCCTCATAATAATAACAATAATAATCCTTGCATTTGACACGTCCGAGACATCTCAAAGGGCTTCACAGAATTGACTGTATATTTTGCGGGCTAAATGTGGCAGCTAATTGCACACAGCAGAGTCCCACAAACAGTCAAGAATTGAGGGACCACATTATTATAATTCAGTGTACTGAACTAATTCAGACACCTGAGGACTAACAATCCACGGGTGAATTGCCAGGCAATTAACTGACTGCCTGAAAGGTGTGTACTCCTCTGTGAATCCACCTGTTTGCCTGCAGGCAGATTCCTGTCCATATATAGACATGAAAATGCTGGACTTCAGTCAGGTAACCTTTGTGCCGTATCCAATATCTGCCCAAACTTTTATCTGTTCGGCAGATTTTTGTCATGTAATTAGAGTGTACCAATTCCAGCTGCCACAGGACTGTGTCGTTCTTGTCTGCAGAAGTCAAGATAAGAAAAAAAGAACCAGTGAGAACGTGGGTGATATTCCGTCCATTTATCAGGCAAAGGCCGTTTTAACTGGAGGAGCATTGCATGACTGCCTTGTGCATTATACCTACAAGTTAAAGGGACATTGTCACCTGGTGAGTACTGTCAACCACTTTGCTAGATAACGAAATAATACTAATAATACCTCGGCGTTTATATGTTAAAGTAAAGGTTTCAAAGCGTGCTACAAATTATCACTTAGTTAGATGTGAATGTTGTGGCACAGGCAAGGATAGACATAGGTTATATTTGCTTCAGTTCTTTCAAAATAAATCTTATTTACTGCATAGACCTAGAAAAATGATTTTCAAAGGAATATATAACATCAACAAACCATAAGAATATTTCTGCTCCTGATAAGGTGCTGACACAGAACCAGAATACTTGAAAGCATTTCGGAGTTACAACATCTATTTGCATTCATACATCGCTGATTCATGTAGGATAATGTCTCTCAGCGCTTCACAAAGACTGGATCAGACGTTGAGCATGAGAGATGGGGAAAGGGGGAGTTGATCTTTGGCGTGGTTAAAGAGGTAGGTTTTTAGGCAGGATTTAAAGACAAGGAGGGCGGGAAATAGGGTTAAAGGAAGGGCATTGCAAAGGTTAGGGAAGTAGTGGCTTGGCACAGGGGTTGCATTCTTGCCTCTGAGTCAAAAGGTTGTGGGTTCAAGCCCCATGTCGGGACTTGAACTCGTATTGTTTAAGCTGACACTCCAATGCGGCGCTAGAGGTGTGGTGCATTGTCGGAGGTGCCGTCCTTCAAATGAGACGTTAAACCGTGTGCCCGTCTATCTCTTCAGGTGGATGTTGCAGATCCCGTGGCACTATCTGAAAAGAGAAGAGATTTCTCTTCCCCGGGGTCCTGGACAACAGTCCCCCAAATAAAATTAGTCACTCATTTTGGTCTGTTTGTGGGACATTGCTGTGCGCAAACTGGCTGCCACGTTTGCCTACAAATATAGTCACTACATTTCACAGTAAATCTTGTGAAGCGATTTGAGAAGACCTTCCGATGTGATAAGGTGTTATTCCAAATGCAAGGATTATAATTACTATTATTCTAAGATGAAGGCTTGGCCATTAAAGATGGTGGAGAAGATGGCGTGGGTCGCCCAGCAAGTGAAAGCAGAGTAGATGGGGAGGTTCTAGGGCGTGAGGTGATTTATAGGTATGGGAGTAGTCTTCGCAGTAAATTTGTTGGGAAACCAGGAGACAGTGGAGCCTGGCAACATTGTGAGGATTTTAGGAGGATTTTGACAGATACTTGACAGAACTTACAATGGAGAAATTACTCACTGTTCAAACAACAGAATATATCAGTTAAAATTAGACAGTTGACCATAAGATGTAGGAGCAGGAGTAGGCCATTCAACCCCTTGAGCCTGCCCCGCCATTTAATGAGATCATGGCTCATCTTCTAACCTAATTCCATTTACCTGCCCTATTCCCCCATATCCCTTAATCCCTCTATCCTTTAGAAATCTATCAACCCCAGTCTTGAATATGATTGGAAGTCGGGTGGTTTGTTACTATACTATAATCTGACTGGATGTAGAGCAGTTGACAAGCATCTGAAACAGAATCATAGGATCCTCTTGTAGTGGTTTGGATTCCTTGCCTCTTTAAATTTCCCCCTGTATTTCTAGATTTGTTGCATGTATAAAATATCTTTTCCAAATTCTTTTGCTCTTGAAAGAATCTTTTCCTGAACAAGGATACGGCCAGTCACATCCAATGCCTTGGGACGTCCTCCCGACGTGAAAGGCGCTCTACAAATGTAATTTTGTATTGTATCTTCCAACTGAAACAATCGAGTTGTAGGCTTTCTGAACGATTTTGCAGAAGGGGGCTTCTCCTGATATTGTGCTGGCCAACAGTCCCTCCAGTTAAAATTCTCTTCTCGTATAAAATTTGAGCCGTCTCAACCTAATTCCTTCTGGGGTCCCAGTATAGCACTGCCCTGATATCTCACACCGAGGCCCATGAGAATGGTTGAGCTGGGAATGAAAAAATACATCGGTGCAATTGTTGGGGCAAGAGGTTGGGGTAGAGCAGAGGACCTATGCAAAAAATATTTAATTTCTCATTGTCAGCATCCCTCATGAGCAACGTAGAGCTTTCAGCCTCCAAACTCCTTGAAAGAAGCCCCAAACATCTTATAAAAAAACTCCTTAACTTCTCAAGTTTCTACAGGCACTTGAACCTCTCACAAAAGTGTGCAGGGGACCAGCCCTTTATAAATCCATGAATCTTGACAAAGGGGCCATTCCCACTATCTGTGAACATCCAAGAAAGCTGTCGTGCTGGCTTTCTTCAATCCTCGAGGTGAGGATTGACCAGTGGAGAGACTTTACAAAATAATTAACTGAATTAACTGGTCTCCCAGCAGTGCCTGGGGTGAGATCCCAGATGAGCTGTTCTTGGTTTGTTTGCTGGATGTGGACAATTCAAGGTAATGGGTCTGCGGGGAGTAGGGTTTAGCTGCCTCTTCCTTTATTAGTGGTAGTAAATTGGCATCTTTTTGAATCCTACCATGGGATCCGAAAACAAGCAGACAGAAACTCTGGAACTCCCTGCCTCAATCCCTCCGCCTTGCCCCCTCCTTGCCAGTGCAAATTGACTGTGGTGATCATCCACACAACACACGGACACCACTCTTTACAGTGACTCCTGTGAAGCGCTTTGGGGGCCCTCCCGACGTGAAAGGCACTGTATCAGATATTATTATTATATCAAATTCAACGTTTCGTATTGTTACAGTAACCTTACTGCCCAGTACATGGTTCATACTCCATTAAGCGCTTGACTGATCCTCCTGTAGGGTAATTGTGGTCTTGGCGGGACTATGCGGCAACCTGCTTTTGACATTAATAAATGATAGTATTTCTGAAGGTGCAGCCCTTTCCTCCTGAGAGGATTCAATAGTTCAGAGTCTCAGTTGCTAAATATATTGGGTGTGGTTGTTTTGGAATCTACAAAGGAAAATCCAGGGTATTGGGTATATGTTTATGAAGAGAGGAATGCTGTTGATGGAAGTCATAAGTCATAACCAAATTGCTCTCCTAATGGAAGTGATTTTGAACACAAGACAGATATTAGGCTTTCCTTTACCTGACCTGTTTGTAGTCTTATTTTGAAATTACGTTTGAATTTCAAAGCAAGACTATAGAGAGAGATTACAGGGCAGAGTGGTATGTATCGGGCAGCAAATTATAGTAGAGAAATGGATAACTGTACTTGCAGAACAGAGCTACCCTAGTTCATGTTTATCACCATGACTATTTTGCTTACTGCCTCACAAACCTAGAACAGCTTTCCACCCCGTGCTCAATGCTTTGTTTGTAATGCTCTTTCTTATTGTGTGTCAGCCTGGCGCAGTGGTAGTAGCACTCTCACCTCTGAGTCAGCAGGTTGTGGGTTCAAATGCCACGTTGGGACTTGGAATCAGTGTTGGGGTTGTGTTGCATTGTCAAAAGTGCGTGTGGGTGCGTTTGTGGAATATATTGTAAAGTGGATTGACTGTATATTTTATGGGTTAACTTGGTAATGTGGGAAATATTAATTAGGCTATAATATTTCATATATCTTGCAAAGCTTTGACCTCCAACAGCTCAACACCAATCAGCCTGGCAGTCCAATGCTTCAGTAATGAATAAATGACAGCTCATATCAGAGTTCCATTTTAGAAGAGAATGATAGAACCAGAGGCAGAAATGTATTCATCCTCGATTTTACATCCAGCTTGATCCAACTTTGATCCTTGCTGCCATTTCTGTGCTAACTATAACCGCACTTTTTAAAAAAAATATATAATGTCATGTTTTATTGAAACGAACTTCACATTGTAGAAGGTGAAGTATGTCTGACAGCCGCCTCACACCTTTTTTGGATTGGAATAAAGTACATTACAGGTGTGGTCTGCCGAGGACTGAAGCGATTAATCACTGTGAATGTTCACATACCTTGAGTTCAAAGTCCAGAAGTGGGGCTTTGACCGCAGCCTTCTTACTCTAAGACAAAAGTGCAACCAGCTGAGCCAGGCTGACACACATATGTGTAACATTGTACTGAGGCCAGATAGTGCACCTACTGAAGGCAATTGCCAAATAAATCTATTAAGTGTACATATATATCTGAAAATGGATATGATTAACGGTCCAGCAGCTTCAAAAGCTGAACCTGGATGATCCTTGACTATCACAGTGTGCCGTTATTAATAATTGAAAACTTATATTCTAATCTTTCTACGGCGATTGTACTGCAGTTTCTATTCTTGCTCTCCTGCTGCTTTTCTTTCAGGCAATCCAGAATAAAAGTGAGGTTTGATGTGTAGGTTTCTGCAGTGCTTGGCTGGGAAACCTCTTCTGGAGGCCAAAATGATAAATCAGCCTCTCCATCAGGTCACTTAAACTGCAATGTATAAATCTTTCCAAAGAAGTCAGTTATCAGCATTACTTGGAAAGCACACGAGTAGCTTTTATGTTTCATGTGTCTGTGTTTCACTCAAGTTTCTGATTGAAAAGTTGAGAAAAGAAATGATTGCCTTATATGGAGAAGGGGAAAAAGCTACTGGGTTTTAAGGTGATTAAAATTCCAACCTTCAGCAAAATGTGAAGTATTTAATCCTCCTTTATAGTTCTAGTCATTTTGACAACTTGATTTGAGGTTGTTGTCTTGTTATTCTGCAGTCGACTGGTTTTTGATGCTCTTTGATGCCCAGATGTTGTGAATCTGGAACTCTCTCCCCCAAAAGGCTATGGATGCTGGATCCAATCAAAAATGTTTAAGACTGAGTTGGATAGATATTTATTAGCTAAGGGTATCAAGGGATAATAATAATAACCCTTGCATTTGATCTGCCTTAATACATCTTTGAGACATTTCAAAGTGCTTCACAGAATATATGTGGGCATCTTGAAGACATGATAAAGCGCTATATCAAATGCAAGGATTATTATTATTATCAAAGCCATGCTTTTTTTTGGTGAACGGTTGTTCTGTTTATCAGAGATTTACATCAACTGTACATTTGCCCCATCCTGTTCATGTTGGTGTTTGTACTACACGAGTTTTCACCCATTCCTTTACTCCC